ATTCGATATGTGATTTCATGGGGTGGAATGGACTAGCAGGGCATACTTTCATCAATTCCTCGAAGTGTTTTTTTTTAATGCCTGGCGGCTTCCAAGCCGAGGCTCGGGGCCCTGCTGAGGTTTCTGGGCGCGCGTTGTGTACCTAGTAAATGGTGGGTGTGGGTGTAAGAATAAAAATGTTATTACGCGGTGTCTCGTGGCTTCTAACTTCAGTGGATCTTGTGTAGAGCTTGAGACTAACAGGTGGATTCTATATCTCCCCTAAATGTAGGATATCTATGCGCCTATGTACATCAATACTCTGTTACCCCTCAGCTCCAGAGAGATCTGATCTTGTGAGATCGTAAGGCACTAGCATTTTGTCTATGTGCTGTACATCCAAAATCTGATCAGCCCGTGACAATGTAGATCTTTTCAGGATCCACACTGCTACCTACTGAACTACGCGTGCCACGTGATTGAACTTCCACGGGATTCTTGATATATAGCCTACGAGCTCCTCTTTTCCTAATTGTTTGGGTTCCCAATGGCCACACCACTCATTGACCTCCACTGGCTTCAGTTGACCACCAAATAAACACCCACGCCGATATTTACACCCGACGGAGGAAGCAAAGCGTGGCGCACAAACCTGGGAGACAGTTCTTCGGGATGAACGTGAGAGGGATCAGGACAAGTCGACAAGATGATGCGGAGGAAGGATATAACCTCGAAGGGCGTAAAATTCCGAATTTTGGCAAGGAGTTCTTACAAACTGAGCTTTGTACGCGCCAAGACTTCGCTTGCGAGAGTGCAGCTGACACTATAAACACAAGCCAACGATGGAAGGTGTTGTGGTCCGCCTCCTGGTGGTGTTTTCCGGTATAATCTGAGTAGCCTGGGCACCTACTCCACTTGGGAAGGAGACGCCTCAGACTATATTTCGCGCGGAGAAAAGTTGAAAGATGATGGAGGCATGTCAGGACAACTGAGGGTTTTTGAGACGTTCCCCTGGGTGGGTATTCACGGATGAGGGTTGACTTGGGGTGAAGAAAAAGCCACCATAACTTCGCAGTGGCACCTGCAAATGAAATCTGAGGCATGAGTGCTCTTCTTGTAAATTGAGTCATCATTTCTGTACTTTTCTTTGATATTGTGTCATAGCTAGATAGCTGCATACGCAATTAAAATCTGATGCAAAAAAATATATCGTTGCTCGAGTCCGGCAAAATCATGCTTCTTACCCCTACACCCTTACTGTGCTGCAGGAGCGGTGCATCTATGGAAGCGTAGTCTCGCTTGCTAGTTGGTAGCGCCCTTTCACCCAGTCTTTTCGCCGGTCTTGACAAGCTCTTTGCTTCTGCAGATTTAGAGCTAACATGAGTAGCCCTAATCGGTCGAGTCGAGTACGCTGTGACGTGCATTTAGGATGTAGCCAGCAGCATCATATTTAACATGGCTGTAACAAGGGCTCGACTCCCGCTAGCTGACACATGCCAGACAATATAGCTCGCCGTTAAACTCTAGGCTTTTGCCGAATGGAAATTGTCCCAGTTCCTCTAGCTTTTTCATCAGTGGTCCTCCTAACTAGGGCTAATCTTGGAGATCTGCAAACCACATAGTTGCATGGGCTGAAGAGCCGGCGCGGATAATTGACTTCTTACTCCCGCTTTCCACCTATACCTAAGTTGCAATACCTAGCCAGTTCATATCGTGATTACCATCACAAATACCCAGTCTTAGATAGGTTACCAGTTACATTCTGCATTCCTTCGAGGCCATTTTCACGTTTACGTAAACTATTTTCTACCCTGTGTTATCGACATTTCTACGAATTAATATTCACTGGAGTATTTGGAACTTGATACTCGGGGATGAATTGCAAGTAAGAGACATAGCAATTGAGTGATTGAGTGGAAAAACGTACTTACTGGTAAACGGGTAATGTGCTGTATCAAAGTCGATTAGCCCGATGAGCCGAGATTGAAGCTTCCGAAGAGCGAATATGCCGGCTTAAAACTCCTCGGGATAAAGCATAATTACCGGCGAATCAGTAGTCCATCATGTGGGTTGCCGGCCATCATCAATATGTTGTGTCAGACGGGCCAACCTTTCAGTGGTGAGTGCCGAGACGATATCATTCAGAAATGCAGTTTCTGAATTGTTCTAATATAAAACTAGCCATGATAAGTTATAATAACTTACTCTCGTGCAACACACTCTAGCCTTTCCCTCCTAATTCTCCCGAGCCTTGGCGAAAGTGACTATTCCTAATAACATGATATTTTATCGTTATCATTATTCCAAGGAAATACTAGGACATTTAGATTCATTCTCCAATTACCAATAGGTTTAAAAATCGTTGATCTCCTTATAGGATCTAAAAACCATCTCCTGAGGTAGGAACCAGCAACATGAGCATACGTACTCACCTAATGAAAACCCGTATTACTTAAAAATTGTCAATTATCCCTTGGGATGGATAGTCAACTTTGATAGGCAACGAGGCGAGAGGTATGTGTAACAGCCATCACGGACCTCTATCGGGATCAAACATGCAAGGACTGAACGGAAATACTTGCTGTTGAAAGAAAACAACTGAAAACCTCAAAATAACAAATTGAGTTGAAAATCAAGCCCTACAAATAAATAAAATTTTGCGGCCGAGATAGTGTACCACTTTGGGATTCTACCTCTAATATCTCCTTCACGGTCTTAGTCCAGCGGCATTAGTTACAGGCTATCATTTGGCCTCATACTGAAATGGGCCATCACACTGCCGATGGACAGTTCCTTGTTATGTGGGTCTAGTAGCATACAAGTTATATTTGGATGTGAAAAGGCAACTGATATATGGATGATTGCTTCGCCGCTTGGCGTAACTTATTTTCGAATCTTCGGAGCAACGAATTTTTATTCGTAAGGTTATTTAAGATAGTTATCTTGCACAAATAGCCTACCTCTAAATCTAGAATGGTTTTTACTAGACAATTAGACATGGTGAGGTGGAGGAGGGTACATTATGTCAAATTTGCCGCCCTAGCTCCAGGATAAAAGACGCAGGGGCTTTCACGGAAGTTATCGAGTGACTTTTACGTCGGGCCTCTCAAGAAAATCTGCCCGACCCCTTAGTTCAATTTGCCATGTCACAGTCTTCTTTGGTAATGCTGGGGGCCTACAGTTTTATAGAATGTACCGGAGAATAAGCAAGCCTTACAAATGACAGGTTCGTAGGTATAGCTTCATCATACTATCCTGACAGTCGATCTACACATTTAGTAATTCTGTTAGTCTCTCACATTTTGACGTTGGCTCTTTGCATGTTGATTCAATTGAAAATACCTCAAAACTTGTATGCTTCAAGGATCAAAGTTATAATAGAAAAAAGTCGTACACTTCTGGTTAATAACTGCTTATCTCTGGAGTTTATATGCACGTATGCTGCAAGATCGATCCAACGCTTGGGTAAATTTTCTCGTCAACCCCTACAAGGAACGCAATACATATCTGTCATAGAGTTGTGATAAAAGTATCCGAAATGTAGCTTTTCGTGGATTACTCCTAGGCCGAGTAACAATTTATAAGATTAAGATGATTCGTGAGGAGCTCGAGTCTGTGAAATTGAAAGCAAACGGCTGCAATTCTTTGTTGAAACCTGATTTTATCATTCGCCCAGCTAGTCTGCTCGAATGCCTACTAAAATTTCGCTGTCACTCACATCGTCGATTTTAGTTTTCTGCCGAGGAGATAAAGCGTGTGCGTAACAAGTGGTGTACACATCAGGATGGGGAGGATGAACAAGTTATGTCCAAACAATTATTGCCTCTCCCATGTTTCTTTGGCAGAGATTAGTCTGGGCCCACGTTGATTTCTGAAGATTTTCTCCTGCCTTAGTCTACGGAAAATATTGCATGACCAGAGGTAGAAATTTTGGGCGAGAGTGTAGAAATGTTCGCAATTTTGGGTATTTCTTAGACGAACAGGTATGGTGCTAAATGCTGGCACGTTCATTCTATAGCTCTTCCATTTCATATCCCTTCCGGCCCCTCCCTTGCTCCATCTCATCATAGCTACCCTAATCCATGATCCTAGAGGACAAGGTCAGCATTGGTTAAAAATGCGGCCAGTGATTCGTCGTTATTAGACCCACCAAATATTCCGACGACGAGGAAGTGAAAAAGAAAAAGGATAAATGATAATGGGATGAACATGCATTCCCGCCGGGCAAATAAGTTATTCTCCACAGGCTGAATGATAATCACAGTGATGAAGAGATTTGTTTGCCTATCCGATTACAATGATAATTTGTCACGCTGCGCATGGTTACAAGTGAGCGGCAGGCCCATGTAAAATTTACCCGAAACTTACACTGGCTGATCAAACGTCTCCGTTTAATACAGTCTAGACCAAGCTGAGTAATTGAATGATCGCATGGGGCCTCAACGGTCAAGACCTCAGTGCTCCCCCTTTAACCATCCTTCCTACATGCGGTAACCCCATGGAGAACCCTTATCAATCTGAATGTCAATCATCAATATCGGCGATCGGCGCTAAATTATGACAGTCGGCTCTCGCAACCAGTATATGCTACCCATGTATCATTTTCAATTGCGCGGGTCTTCAACGCGGTCCAAAAATACCGAAAATAGGATCACAGTACCTCTCACCAACTGCTCCATCGACTCACCATGGATATCAGTTTTTGCAGAGAACACTTACGATATAATCGGAAGCAGCTCCGCTCTATTCTTTGGTGAGAAAGAGGTGTGTAATTGTGTACCACGAGGTCATCCATGTCGGGGGGATCATCTAGAACCTCGTTGCTTGTCAGGGACTTACACGAGTAGATGATTGACTAGACAGACCGACAGCCAGCCTGTCGAAGGCAATTAGCTCCGCTTATACCCCCCTCCCCACGCAGCAATTGATCACAACTTGCCACCCTTCTCCTTTTCTCTCATATTGCTATCCTGCTGTGCATATCCTATCCTTACGTCCACTGGCAACAACATCATCTTAATATGTCCGATTCCTCAGAAGCGAGCCCCAAGTCTCGTGTCAATCGCACAACAGGAACTCTCATGGACGAAAATATTGGGCCATTGGACAAAATGGCAGAAAACGAATTCGAGGAACATGAAGCACAGCCAGACTCGCCTCGGACTGGGTCTCCAGATCAGCTTGATGGAAACAACTTTTTTGACTTAAAACCACCAATTCCAGTCCTCAACGATCTCACCAAAATTGAAGAAGTTATGAAACGGTTATATTCAGAGGAGCATTTGCACTATATACTAAGTGATCATGCACAATATCAACGCTTCTCATCATTTCTTAGTCGATACAAACCGCTTATGGTACCCACGCTAGTTCGATACATGGAGATGCGAAAAGCTATGAAAGCCATCGAATATGCAAATGCCGTTGCCAGAACGATTAAATGGCCCTCACAATCAGATTATTCCAAATTTTCGCGGATAGAAGCAGCCCAAACAGACGGTCGATTCGAAGACTACGCATCACGAGAGGTTAACTCCCTTTTGGCCGAAGCACTGCCCGCTTGGGTAACGTATCTCCTGGTTGGTGTCGTTGCTGATTGTTTGGCACGAGAGATCACTGGACAGTCTCTTCCTGTCGTCAAGGATCTTGTCGGGAATCTCGGGGAAGTCTTTTGTCTCACTGATCCAAAAATCAGGGACAACCCCATTATTTACTGCTCCGAAGGTAATAGCTCCCCCCGTTGAATCAAACGCCAGCTCACATTTTACAAAAAGAGTTCTATCGGACAACTCAGTATGGCACCAACTTTGCCATAAATAGAAATTGTAGATTCCTCCAAGGACCGCATACTAACGAAGCTACAAAAGATAGACTTCGCAAGGCAATTTCACTAGGTCAGGAATCTAACGAAGTACTTTTGAATTAGTAAGATATCCAAGCTAGAGCTGCAGTCCTCGACGATTAACTCTTTACAGCCGGCGCGATGGAACCCCTTTTGCAAATCTTCTCATGGTTTCTCCTTTGTACGACGATAAAGGCAATGTTCGATATTTTATCGGTGCACAAATAGATGTAACTGGTCTTATTCTCGACGGCTTAGGTTTGGATAGTTTTCGTGGCATGCTGTATAAGTCTGTTCCACAAATTTCTACAGCCCCATCGGAAAATCTAGACAACTCTAATCATGATGTCCGACCGAGTATTTCAGCTCAGAGTAACTACAATAAAGTATGCGATCCTCTCGATAAATTGACTGATTTATCTCTCATGCTTTCCCTCGACGAATCCGAAGTAGTGACAAAAAACATACTCTCTGGCGCTCCACATCACCTTGATACAGAATCTATAACATCAGATGGCTGCAGCATTCGCTCCATGCTGCCCACTAACAAAATGGCCCGTCAGAACCGTCGTATCATCGATGCGCATGACTCTGATATTCATATGGGTCAATCAGCAGCTGAAGGTAACAATGCAGCGATAAATCGAGCTTTTCTAGGTGCCTATCGTCACTATCTCTTAGTCCGCCCCTATCCATCACTTCAAATCATCTTCGCCTCACCTACCCTTCGTCTGCCAGGCCTCCTTCGAACTCCACTTTTCACAAAAATAGGCGGCTCACCTACTGTCCTTTCATCCCTCGAGGATGCATTCCGTGACGGTGCCTCCGTAACGGCTCGCATTCTGTGGCTTCCTAAACATGGATATCCAGCTAACAGTAAAGCACGGAGACGCTGGATCCGATGCACACCGCTATTAGGCTCCGATGAACGTGTTGGAGTTTGGATGATTGTTCTTGTACCAGCTGATGGTGACGAGGACATAAACCGTTCCATGACAGATTCGGGTTATCACTCTATTGGAGGACTGGGAAGTATTATGGGTATGGGAAATTTTGGTAACGGGCGAATCTCATCATTTAATTCTACGATTGACGAATTTGATGACCTTGCAGCCATGGAAAGTCTTGTTGAGGGTCGTCGAAGCTCTGCGCTCGAAATATCTGGCCATGCTCCGCGCTCCAGGAGAGTAACAATAATGGATCATGAAAATCCCACCCAAGGCCCATCCGATAATATATATGGTATGACCAGCCCAGAGCGACAATTCCGCAACTTGGCCAAGCGGGGAATAGACGATGGACTATATGCGCAGTTCCTGCGAAATTCAGCAAGCACAAATTCGATAATCGAGGAAGAAATTTAGAGTTTAATTCGGAGGACGACTAGCCTCTCTTAAAAGCACGTATAAACACATGAAATATTGTCTCATTTATATAGGCAGAAAAGTGGGACTTGTGCGTTTAAGATCATGAAGTTGACTATAATTTGTACAACACTGGGCTTATATATATATGGTAAATAAGGGCTTGGATATCGGACTAGAACGAAAGTTAGCTGACTTTAATGTACCGGCGTAATTGGGCGTTCCAGTTGGAAAATGAGAAGTGGATTTGATTGGGACTTAACGCTACGAAGAACCTGGTCTCTTATGGCCACTAATACCTTGATGTTGCTCACGTACATACAGCTAAATCACACTGAATTTTGCTACACATTTTTCTCGGAAATTCACATGGCTTGTAAAAGAAAGCTCGAGAAAATACATAATGTTTTTGTCCGAATTTTACTCTATCATAACGACATCACACGTCACCTTTTATTATCATCCTCAACCTGCATCAAAGAGGTCTTATTCATAGTTATTGCTATATCATTTCCTACTGAAAATAACTTACCACACATGTCGCTACTGCAGGGCTATGAAGCCTACCTCTCTCAAAAACCATGTTATTTTTCTCGCCTATTTTTCCAAATAGGCCATCTTACATAGTATACAGGAATATAAGTAGGTGTCCTGACTCTCCTTTGGTGGATATCACAGCCGATTTATCTAATACATGGGCTGGTTCTCTTTAATTGGACAGCAGATGATATATGTGGAAATAACCTGGCAAGCGAGGAGCTTCTCAAACTGTTTAAAATCTAAAATTGGTCTGACCCGAATTCAGCCATCATTCTTCATGACTCTCATAAATGGTGACCTCATGAACTCAGAGCTCAGCCTCACTCTCATTTTTGGTTTCAGTTGATGGCCTGCCCTGCAATCATCGTTGCCATGTATGTCGCGCTTGTATCACGGGCCATGATCCCTCACTGACTCGCTCGGTGATGACAAAATGATGTCATTCGTCTTACATCGAAGGCGGAGCTGGTGGAAATGAAACGAGATGCTGGCCTGCGGGAGTGCATTTCCATCGGCAGTCACTCCGGCTACTATCTTTGCCGGTGGGACTGCGCCCTCGTGGATCTTGGCAATATTCAACTTGACCGCTGGATACGGATACCCCAGCTCGGCTCTGTAATGTCGTGCCGCGCCACTACCACCTGGCTAGTGCACCTAATCACGTGGTCAAAGCTTCACGAGAGCTGTGCCATCGCTGCGCTTTCTAGGCGCATAACCTTCCAAGCGAATCACAGCTAGTAAGAGGAAGACAGGAGAGGGCGGAAAATAAGGCCAAAGCCATGACTTGGAGGTCGAGATTCATAGCCTGATACCACGGTGTCAAGTTTGCAGTGGGTCTTTCCTTTGTACTTGTAAAACTTAGAGAGGTCTTCGTGTGAATGTCACGTGAATGGTCAAAAGATGAAAGCAAATACAAGAAATGAATTGATTGCTTCTCCGTGCTGCGAGTCTATCGTAGCACTACAATATCTAATTCTACCCTGCTAACGCCCCTGATCATCATTCTAGTCTGACATGCCTGCACGTAGATCGTGCTTTCGCTTTTGGACTGGATCCAGACTTATGCTTGCATAAGTCTGCTTACAGTACTAAATTTAATTGCTATAATGATCAGCAGCATAACATTTGTGCATTTTTGTTACTTGACTTTACGCCTCATTTACAAGAGTTCCAAGGTTTTTGAATTACAAAATAGAGCTCCAGTTTTATCTTAACCTTGTATCTGAACATGTGGCTGGAATATTGTCAGGCCTTAATATCTGGCTGTCCCCCCATCTGCATCTATCACAGCCTGACATCTTGCTGGCATACTCTCAAAGAGTCTCACAAGATCTTCTGGAGACACGGAATCCCACGCCTCCTTTACAATATTGCAAAGAATATCTTGGGATCGCTGCTTCCCGCCACCCAGATTCAGATGACGACGCTGGATGTAATACTTTATCCTATTCTAAACAGCTTCAATGAGTTAAGATCAGGCGAGTTTGCCGGCCAGAAAATCGGTTGAATGAGCCTCTGGCTCACATCTTCCATTGTACTTGCTGCTGTGTGAGCAGGAGCATTATCCTGCAATACAGAAAGCTAAGGTCTCATCGAGACTATGCCATCGATAAGAGGAACTATTTTCTCGCAATATTTTTGGGAGTAAATAGATCCCCACTCCTTCTCCCAAAATAAAGAAGGGCCTTTTTATGGCCCTCCGAAGCAACCCCAGATCATCCAGCCTACCCTCTTCTTCGATTTTTCTCCAACACAATCAGCGTTGCATTCTTGGAAAGTCTAGCTCATAATGTTAGAGTATCAAATTACTATCTTCTTATAAAGGAATGTTCGAACACTTCTTGTCACCCATTCTCTAGTATGTCTTCCATCCTCTACCCAAGTTTCGTCTGTCCATAAAACTGACGTCCAGTCTTCATATGTCCCATTGAGATGAGTTTTTGCTCATTCGCTGAGTGGCTTCATAGTTTATTGAGATGCTGGAGGCTTTAGATGAGCTAAATATCGTTGATATCCTCTTTTTTGAAGTTCTCTTTGTATTTCCCACTCGCTAACTCCAAGATATCTAAAGGGGCCAGAGGCGTGATCTAGAAATGTTTTGCGGCGGTTTTCAGGTGAAGACTCAACGTAAGATAAAATCTAATTAACATTATCTGCTTTTAGTATTGAGGATGTTCCTTTTCTCTTTTTGAAGGAGAAAGTTCCGCGGCGCAGTCAATAACCAACTTGTCCCGAGAAATGGCGAGTTACATGGCAATCTGCGTCTGGGTTTTGCCAGATTCATAGAGCCCATAAATCCGAAACCTCCTTATTATTATTACGATTCGTTGATATTTAGTTTTTTCGCCTTACTAAAATGTATTGATCTCTGGATAATTGTTTGAGCCGAGGTGTTGAAGGTAGTGTATGAAGTGGATTCATCTGCAAAATAAGGTTGATATCGAGTGAAGTCATGTATCTGCTGAATAAACAACTTTTTATTTGAGAAATCTATTTCTAATTGTCAGTCAAGCACAAGACGAGAAGAGACGTGCAGTTTTTTAGTGGTCGGTGGACAGTGAAGTAATGGAAAAGAACTGGAGAACAGGTTGGATTTGTATAAAACTGAGGGTGACAAGAAATCGAATTGTGCCCTTAATTTAGACCTTGAAATACAGGACAAGAATTATGCACCCTGTCGAATAACGCTCTAACAGGGATCTATCCCATGAAGCGAATATGCGCCCCATATAAACCCACTGCAAACTTGAAATCGTGGTCTCAGGGTACCTAGCTGGCCTGGGAAAGCATGCTCTGTCACGTTCCGCTTATTATACAAGGATATCCTTGCACAGTATTCGACGGGTCATTAAATAACGATAATTATGTAATGATGGAGGTAAGATGAGATCAACATATGTTGAGTTAAATGGGATAATGTCTCTAGTTCGACCCTTAATTCAAGGAGTAGATGATATGTAAATGTAGAGACAGCTACGTGTAGATGGTCAGAAGGACGTGCAAGGCAAATTCCGTCCAAATTAGGCTTTAGCATATCACAGATATACGCAGACTCTTTAATTTTATCACCACCTTCAATCTGCTGACTACAACAGATTCGGACCCTTTGAGAAAAGGTTTCCAGGGTCATAGAGCTTTTTAAGTGCCACTAGTCGCGCAAAGTTACCACCAAATACTTCATGCCCGCTGATGCCGAGGCCTATGACGAAGTAAGTTTAGAGTCAAAAGAGCGTTGTAAACTTTGGAGAAGTTACTTACCATCATAATTGAAGTATTCTCCGACTCCATCCTCTACGTTAGCTGTACTGTCAGACAACTTGGCTCGCTGCTTCATAAATTCTGATTTTGACATGGCGGATACTTCACGGGCCCACTCGCGACATTTCGTGTCATTAGCAGAATCTCTCCAACCCATTATTGTCAGCAGGTTGCCATAGGCTCCGCGATTTGCAAAGGCTGTTGCCGTCTGGGGAACGGCTGTAATCATACGATAGGGGAAGAATTCAAAGGCTATGAGAGACGAGGCGGCATCGGGACATTCCTGAATGAACGATGATAATTTTTTAAGGAGTAAATCGGTAAAAGATGGGGCCATGGGAAACATAAATGCAGCGCCTTTCATGGAGTGTCGCATCCCCTGCGCAGCGGGACCAGTGCTAAATAGCTGATTGATAGCAGGGTAGGGAATGAAGCCCGTCGTATTAGCTATAGCTGGCAGTCGCAGCAGTGAAGCAAAGGTATTTTGTGCATCACTCTCAGGCCCGTTGTAGTAAACTAAGGCCAAAATCACAATGGCGTTGGCAGGTGGTGGACAAGTGATAGAGATAACCAAGCTACCTTTCTCATCGTCTGTATTTATGAAGTGATTTCCGGCCTCTATGACAGCATCTAGCTGTGCCGCTTCAAATATGATGAGCCCACCCCATACTGGGGCTTTCTGTTCGTAGGCTTGATAGACGAAAGCAGTGGCGATTCCAAAGCCGGCGCCAGCACCTCTAGCTGCCCAAAATAAGTCCGGGTTTTCGTGAGCCGAAGCGGTGACAATATTTCCATTAGCCAGGACATATTCGACTGAAATTAGATTATCGATGACAAGTCCACGAGCCCCGCTCATATAGCCGTAGCCGCCGCCTAGGGTGAGGCCACCAACACCGGTATCATCGACGGCGCCGCCCACGCAGGCTAGACCATGAGATTCTCCCGCTGCGTAGACATCTTTCCACAGAGAACCGCCACCAGCGTGAATAGTTTGCTTCACCGGATCAACCAGAACCGTGGACATCTGAGACAGATCTATACAGAGGCCGCCATGGGTTGAGGAAGAGCCGCTGGTTCCATGGCCGCCACCTTTGACGGCAAGCTCGAGCTGATGCGCCTGAGTGAACTTGACAGCTAGCGATACGTCGGCGGGCGAGTTAGGGAAAACGATAATAGCCTAGGGTGGGATAAGTTAGAAAGACGACTGCTGGTTGCGAAAATCGGGTAGAAATTGGGTACACACTGCTCGTTTCTCCGCCGCCGCAGACCAACGCTTGAGACTCTGCTCGTAGTCTGCATCACCCTGCACTACGATGCGTGCGCCATTCGAAAGGCCTGCTTTTAATTCTTCAATATCGTTCTCCTGTAATTTTTTCATGGTGATTGAGCTCGTGAGGGGCAGCGGTACATTTTGACTAGGGGCTGCTTTTGTGTCGTCTTGCGCCCAGGAGCAGATGCAAAGCTGTCCCGCTAGTCTTCCTAGTCAAGCCTGTCTCGTCGCACAGGTCAACTCCCGTCCGACACATATGCTTCCAAGTTCGGAACAGCCAACTCCTGCGGTACCTGTATGATTGACGGTGGCGATTGAAAGGATAGACCTTCAACTATATGGCTGAAATCAACTCTAGTTAACATTAAGCTTACGTAAGATGGCCATCATTTTGGCCGCACAAGGTTGGCCGATGAATGGTATATACAGAGTTATTTATAATACCTCTTTTACAAGATTCAATTCTGTGCCTTTGTCTAAAAAAGCGGACTGTTTGTAGAGCTTGGCCAAACGAGTCGAGCAGGATTAGATGTGGCCGAACAGCACTTGGATTGATTATGTCGGATAGTCAAGTGGTTTACGCATATGAAGGTCGCTTGTCTAGAGGCTGTATAGCTTGTGCAAATACGTCACCGAAGAACAATTACTGCTATTCTGATTCAAAGGACTTACGCCACAATTCAATCAGCTTGAGGATAGGTTGATTCGAGGGACTTTGAGTGTTCAAATCTTCGGAAATCCCTTTGAGGGATACCCACGGACAATAGCTGCGTTTTGTACGTTTATTGGCACATTTTAGATTATATCTTCCAAATGGGACTGGTAGACCTGCCAAGCCATTATCATCAGAGTGCCCAACTTCTAACTAACTCTTTAATCCGTCATAAGGCTATGGCTATGCCAAGAACTCCGATTCTTATCCTCTCATTGGACTCTGGAGTAAATTATTAAAAAAGAAAAGTTAATGGTTGATGGCGGCATGTCTGGATAACTCAGGGTTTTTGAGACGTTCCCCTGGTTGGGTATTCACGGATGAGGGTTGACTTGGGGTGAAGAAAAAGCTACCATGACTTCGCAGTTGTACTTGCAAATGAAATCCGACGCATGAGTGCTCTTCTTGTAAATTGAGTTTTCTATTATACACTTCTCTGATATTGTGTCATAGCTAGAAAGCTGCATACGCAATTAAAATCTAATGCAAAAAAAATATTAAAAAAGATTCAGGCATCACATACACAACAAATTAGTCACTGCCGAAGACGAGATTTAGCCATGAATTGTCAGTTTAATGGAGTTATAGTCATATCTGGTCTTAAATTGGTAAGTAAAGGCTTCACAATTGCTTAAAAGTCAAAAAACTCATCACGACGACTTGAGATCAACAAACTGGCCCTGCCGATTGGGGGGTCGCATATTAATAACTTTTGCAAGTCTTAGTCGCTATACGTCGCCGACTAACTCTTCTCACAAAATTCTAGACTAGCGACTCGCCTCCATCAACACTACACCATTCACTATGCATGTCGTAAGTTTATGAGTCATGATTAAAACCAGGGATGAGAATATGCTGATAAAAAATATAAAATGTGTAAAGAGGATTAAGCTCTTGCCCTGGGGTTAAAATGCCTAATGGCGATAATTATCGAGCTATACGAATACAAATTTCAGAGCTAGGACAATACTGAAATCTAAAAATTTGGAAATTCTGGAGATAATAAAGTGTCAAGATCCCGTGAGTAAGTGGCCGAGGCCAAGGATTAAGCTGCGCTTCGGCTCATGACACCAACTTTTTCAGACGGCTAGGTCAGTCGTTAATTAACACATTGGTGATCTTTGGCTACGTAGATCGGTCGGAATTTGCAGTCTAGCTTGCAGTAACTAATCTGATTCAGCAAGATGCCACTCTTATAACGCTCCCCAGAATTTTGAAGGGACTTAATGTCATGTAGAGACATGATTCATTCATGAGTTGATATTGCTCAGACGATCATGACTATATCACAACGTCATGTATAGACACTATTCATCGTTTGTACCTGTTCTATCAACCATGACTATGTCTCAGTGATAGGAGAAACATCATTGACTAGTTAAAAGAAACCTAGTCAAGATCCTAAACACACAACTAAGACTAGGAGAATTTTACTGAGTAAGTAATTATTCTGATGAATCTTGATCTGGAGGAACATAATCTGGTTGCTTGGCTCGAGGTATATGAACCTGAGCTTATCATGTATAATAAATATATAAAAATCCATCTCAATCAAAATCATCATCTTAATTCATGTCACCGTCAATAGCTGCAAAGGACAGTTTAACCATTTCCTTATACTTAATGACCTGCATGCCAGATATTAAGTAAATCGAACAGTAGTTACACATACCAATCGTAAAAGCATACTGGATTAATAATCTTGGACCAGACTGTATCGACACAAGGATTCAAAAAGAATTCTTGCCAAACACTAGCCAGGAATTGAGAGCACTTTTCTAGGGTCTGCTGCTCCTGAAGAGCTTCACAAAAGTATTAGGGGTTGCTTATACAATTCCCCGACTAAAAAAAAGGGCAGAATATCAGAAGGATCAAAGAAGCATTGTACACGGCGTTACTCCCCTCGCATTCAAAGTCTCATGTGGTTCACTTGACGTAAAATAATATTATCATTATCTCACGAGGCTCGCTCGCCGGCAAAGACGAATTCTTAACCTTCCAGTGGTGCTGGTGTAATCGCTCAGTATGCTCTACATATCTGGGATAGCCAGGAAGAATCACATCCAAATCGAAGTCGAAAGCACTCACAAGCACATCTAAAATCGACGACTTCTCGTCAATGTAGGATCTATCATTCTCACGCGAGTCCTCCACCTCAATCTTACTACATCACCTCGCCTCGAATATCGATAATGGCGTTACTCCAATTGCAAAAGGGGATTTGCCTCATCAAAAACCGGCCATCTCCCACTACACACTTACGATGCTATGTATACCTGCTAGGAGGAATTCAAGTCATATGTTATAGGCTGGGGCCTAACGCACCTAAGGCTAGGTCATGGATTAACGAGCCAGGTTTGTTACAAGAATTGACCACCCATCATGTATATAAGGGAGAACATTCCCACATCTTCTTCTTTCTTCAGTTCACGATCTTCAATACAGCCTACAGTGCAATTTGAATACAATTCTACTTCCGACTCTTACATTATCGTGAACTCACCTAAGGACAAGTATTTTTAATTGACCTCAGTTACATCACCAAGTGCGGGTAATATTGATTACTGCTGTTTATTATTAATTTTTTTTAAAAATTGAATTGCTGAAAATTATCAAATTTTTCACAATCATTGTATCTCACCAGTTTAGTTCAAAGCTTCTAAGTTTTAAATAAACCCGAGTTTCGAATTCATTTGCTTTAGCATATAATCATCATTATCTTTCTACTGAAAATATATCAAGTTTTATTGGAAGCTATCTAGTTGCTATATTCAGTAAATCTGATATTTAAGCTGCTGCTTGCTCTTTCGTTGCCTTTTTTTTATGTTTTGAAGCATGTCAAATTCAACAGATAAAAATGATGGAGAGTCTCAAAACCAACAGCTCCTGGAGTAAATCAACAAACTACAGCAACAATTAGATCAGCAAAACTCAGAGATGAAGGAGCAGGGCAAGCTCATACACCACCTCAAACAACATGCACAATCTACCACTGAGACTCTCTACAAAGCAAGGCAGGTTAAAATAATACCAGAGATTACAAAAATGGAGCAGCCTAAAGATATCAAAGAGAAGCTGCCACAAATTGATAAATTTAAAGGAGATAGGACAATGTGGGATGAATGGCATCTTGGAGCACAGCACAAGTTACTAAGGAATGGCGAAGCTCTCGGATCTTCCTTCGATCAGTTCATGTACATTTACTCGCGACTTGATGGTGATGCTATAAAGATGGGTTCTACTACAGCAAGAATCCTGTCAGAAAATAAAGAAGGCAAAGGAATCGACTTCTTGGAATACCTCAACACTAAATTTGGGGTTTCCAATAAAAAGGCGAGAGCTGAGAGAGAGCTATACAGGATAAAGCAGAAAGAGGAGGAACCATTTCCACTGTTCTTGACGAAATTTGAAACAGTTTTGGCAAATGCTGGCTGGTCCTTGTATTCTGACAGTCAAAAGATCTCCCTACTCAAAGACGCTCTTACAAGAGAGCTCTAGCGCGCTCTACTTGGACCACCAAGAAATTCATGGTCTGAATTTATTTCATACGTCCATACTCTCCACTGTGATTTGGAGGCCATAAATCAGCAATATCCAGAATTTCATGCAGCAGAAAGTAGAGGCCCAAATACAAAACTACCTTATAATAAAAGCTCTATGCAGATGGACTGGAAACCAACAGTAGCTACCTCATTGGCCCAGATTCAACAAAAAAAGGCAACCTGGATCATAAAAGATGAACTGGCCTTTAGAAAGAAGAAAGGACTATGTGTAGGATGCGGCCACAAGGGATATATTGTTTCTAATTGCGAATATTTACTACCAATTAAGACAGCAAATATTAAAGTGGTTAGATTATCTAGCGAAGGAGAGAAAGAACTGCAAAGAATGGCTCAGCCTGAAGGAGAGCTAAAAGTTAAGAAAGTTCTCAAGAAGGGCATTTTATCTAAAGAAGAATGGAATCTGTTCAAAACTAAAATGGATTGTGAACTTTTCCACATAACTGCTCTCATCGATGAATCTTATCAATTGCGCACTCTTATTGACCCTGGATCATCAGTGTTACGGTTTGACCGTGGTTTAGCTTAGGTGGAGACCTAAGCGGAGTTTGGGGGCGTATTCGGGAAAGTGTTACATATTATCTTGTATCAAGCGACTAAATTTCACTTGGCCACATTACATTAAAGTTAGGAAGGAATGTGAGACGGCGAAGTAGAATTGCCAAGTGAGAGAGTCAGCTAGATGGCAAAGATGACGAGGGGCAGTGGCGGAGCAATATGTCATTCTCACCAACAGAGTACATATTGGATGAGCTAGAAGGATGTACAAATAGTCATTGCCCGTAGTTGTGATACTTCTCTCTTCATATAGTTTAATCTTTCTAAAAGTACACTAC